TTTTTTTTTTTTTTTAGATAAAGGCTTGCTATGTTGATTAGGCTGGCCTTGAACTCAATATGTAGCCTAGACTGGCTTCAAACTCCCAGTGATCTTCCTGCCTTTCCCTCCTGAGTGCTGGGATTATAGGCTTATGCCACCACACCCAACTAATGATGGTAATATTGATAGGGAAATCTCCACAAAACATAAACCTGAGATAGAAACTTTCTACAATAAAGCCAAAGGTGGAGTACATGTTGTTAATGAATTATGTAGCAACTGTGATGTCACTTGAAACAACAAAGCATTGGTTAGTGGTTGTGTCTTATTTGATACTAAATATGTGTGGCATAAATAGTTTGATAGTTTACAAAGAAAATAAAAAGTGCAAAATATCACAGAGAAGTTTTCTTAGAGGATTATGATTGAAACTTAAGATCATTTACAGTAGGGGAAAAACAAAATATGTCTGCCCAGGGAACTAGGCAAAATATTGTGGTGCACACTGGTGAGCTGGCAGGCGAACAGGCAGCCACAGCATCACAAAGACCCACTATGATAACAGGAGAACAAAATTTGGTAACTGTGCCTTCCAGGAAAGGACAGGAAGACAAAACACAATGATAGCAATGTAAACAATACTTGTATATGGAGCATGCAGTTGTCATGTGTGAAGATTGCCTTGGATATGGCATTTGAAGCAAAGCTTATTTCTGTACTAGATTTTTGTGTTTACATTGTAGTTCACATAGGTTTTCTTTTATTTTTGATGTTACATTTTAGGTTGTAAGCAAGTACACAGCTGATATGAAAATGTTGGTGTTCTAAGCACTCACTACATATTTGATATTTTATTTTATTGATATCATATTTCCCTGCTAAGCACGTGTTCTATAATATAATAGAAAATGCCTAACAAAACAGGATGAGAGAAATGACAAGAATGCTATATAGGCTGGGTGTGGTGGTGCAGGCTTGTAATCCCAGCATTTAGGAGGCTGAGGCAGGAATAATGCCTTGAGTTCTGGGCTACAAAGTAAGCTCAAGCCTAGCCTGAACCGCAGGAGCAATTCAAAAGGGGAAAAAAAAAAGAATATCACACTGGAAAGCTTGTGCTATCAGTGTGAGAGGCATACATGGAACATGCAGTTGTCACATGTGAAGACTGCCATGGGTAGGGCGGTTAAAACAAGGCCCTTTTTTTTCTCCTGGCGGAACCGAGGATTGAACACAGGCCCTTGCGCTTGCCAGGGAAGCACTAATCCCACTAAGCCATCTCCCTAGCCCCGCAAGGCTTATTTTTGCAGTAGAGTTCTATTGGCATTTTCATTGCAGTTCATATAGGAATTAATTTCTGATGTCTTTTAGGTTTTGTAAGCAAGTACGCAGCTAATGTAAAAATGTTAATGTTTATTCTACATGTATAGTGCATAATGAAAATTTAAGACTTTATTTTATTGATATTTTATGTTCCTGTTAGTTACACACTATATGATATAATAAAAACCTCCCAACAGCAAGTGTGTGGAGCATGCCAATGTCGTGTGCAAACTGCCTTAGGTGTTACAATTGAAATAAAGATTTTTTTTTTTGGTAAAGTGCTATTGTTATTTTCATTGTAATTCATATAAGAATTTATTTGTGTTCTTTTTTAGACTTAGTACACCAAAAATCAGCCAGTGTTGAAAATTTTGATGCTTTTTAAATGAACAATAAATATTAAAAACTCAATACTTTTTTGTGCTATTTTTCCTGTTAAGTACTCATTGTTTAATATAACGAATTTCATAAAATTAAAGTTAATAATTCCTCAATAAAAATATTCTAAAGAATAAACATGGATCTGACAGAGCCATGTTTATATGCCCTGATATCAAAATTATTCCCATGTCCCAAATTAATGTTGCTATACTACTCTATTAAAACAGACACACTGCCTGTGTTATTTCTGTTTGTGTGTGAATTCCATAGATGTAGGTATTTTTTTGCTAAAAGTTTTCAAGTTTAAAAAAATTGTTGTAATCCTAGCACGCACTTACTTTCTTTCTCTTTTCTTTTCTTTTCTTTTCTTTTCTTTTCTTTTCTTTTCTTTTCTTTTCTTTTCTTTTCCCTCCCTCCCTCCCTTCCTTCCTTCCTTCCTTCCTTCCTTCCTTCCTTCCTTCCTTCCTTCCTTCCTTTCTTTTAAAAAATATCAATTTGACCCATTCACACTTAAAACCGTACCAAACAAGGAAAAGGATAAACAGAGATGGAAACATATAGGAGCCTCCCAGGAGCCTAAGAAAACAACTCTTCTTGTCTGTAGTGAAGAAGTCCTGACTCTAAAAATCACCCTAAAATCCCTTAGAATTCCCTATCAACATTGGAAGCAGGAAAAGATCTTATAATCAACAATAGCTGTTTGAATTTGGATATTGTATATGAAGTCGTTCATCAAGAGTGGTGTGGGAGTTTGGAATGTTAGGCGTTCCTACCTATGTCAATGTAATAGCTTTCTGAAGGTTTTTAAGGATACTTTCCTTCCTATCACACTACCACCAGAATGTATTTGCTGGCAAAGCTGTTTTTTATCCAACGCTGTGGGAATGATTTAAGTGAAAGTTGACAGAAGTCCTGAAGAGAATTTGTTCTGCCAAGAATAAGTTGGGTGTGTGTGTGTGTGTGTGTGTGTGTGTGTATATCAGTTCTGGTCAGCTGTGCTGACAGAGCTGCAAGAAGATGCTTTCCTGAAGGCTAATCAAGGCCCCGCAGACAAAGCTCAAGGAAGGATGCCCCTACCTCCGGAAGTTGTGAGCCAGTTGCTGTTTATAACCAGTGTACAATAGAACTGGAGAGTAAGTCTGCTCAGCTGGTAGGAAAAGCTTTTTGGCTAAATTTCATATTCGAGGAAATAGTTTATGGACACCTCTATGTGACAGGAAGGAATGTGACAGTGACTGTAAGTATTTTTGTATATTTGGGTCAAAGATGTGGTATCAGAAATGTAGGAATTTCAGTCACTGATAAAAACAGGTATTTTATTTTGAAGAACAACAGTTATTGAGCACCTTCGATTCTCTTTAACAGGTTGTCTGTGCAATTGAGCTAATAGTAGAGTTGAAATAGGGTATGTGATAGACTAATATCTATCAACATAAGGACCCCTGTTGGTATATGTGCAAACTAACTGACTTGCTGTGGATGTATACATGAAGTGTTTAGTTAGTCAGTGTATTTCTATATATGTATGCTTTTTTTTTTTAAATTTTATTTATTTGTGTGTGTGTGTGTGTGTGTGTGTGTGGCCAGCTCAGCCCACCAGGGGGCGGGGCTGGCTGGCATGTGGTGCTGGGGGATTGAACCGCGGTCCCTGTGCTTTGCTAAGCTTGTTCTAAGTAGGTGCTTTAGACCACTGAGCCATCTCACCAGCCCCTGCTTTTTTTTTTTTTTTAAACGGGGACTCAAATTCAGGACTTGTGCTTGCCAAGCAAGCGCTGTGCCACTGATCTACATCCCCAGCATGTATGCTTTTTCTAATACTCAATTGGCCCTTCTTTGATTAAGAGAAAGTTTCATAAAGAACTGGTTACTACAGACTGAGCGTGGTGGTACTCCTCGGTAATCTCAGCACTCAGGAGATTGGGGCAGTAGGATCACGGAGAGTTGAAAGCCAGCCTGGGCCACACAGTGAATTCATAGCAAGACACAATCTCAAAAACAGACAAACAAAATTGGCTTATTACAAAATAATGTTTTCCACTGCTATAGGTAATTCTTATAAGCCCTCTATATTTAACCGTAAGGAATTAAATATGTCAGAGTATTAAACCTGACAATTTGAAAAATGTTACATTGTCATATTTTCTCAGTATTGTTATACCACTATTTTAGGATTAGCTTTATGGAGTTGAATTATAGACACATTTTTTTATTCCTGTGATGTAAATTAATTGTTTGGGGAATAAGCAGGCAATGTTTTAGTGTGGTTTAAATTGAGGAATTATATCCTGTTTTAACTTTCTTGTCTCATTTTAATAGGATTATTCAAGACAAAGTTGCAGCTATTTTCAATGAGGGGCAATGATCAAAATTACTCTTTTTAAGAAGACATTTGCAAGTTAAACATGAAAGAAAGGTACTGGAGTCATTTCACTTCAAACAGGATAAACTGTATAATATTTCCCTGTCACTTTTGATGGAACCGTTATAAGATTCATCACTTGCCATGCACCCAACAGGGAACATGGATGTTGGTTTTTCTCGTTTTGCTGTTCAGACGCTGTCGAGAAGCCACTGCAAAAATATCAAACAAAAAATTTCCCAGTGGGAAGGAAGGACTAATGGGACATGTAATCCATCCAAGTGGCATCCAAAGGACTTTGGAGTGAGATACAGCTGTCACCAAGAGATTCTTCCAGTGAAATGTCCTGCTGCGGAGAGAAAGAACAAAAAGTTGGGTATAACCAGCTCTCCTAATGTGGGTTTAGATATGAATGAAGATGCCGAAGTCCATGATCCAAGTGAGGATGAAGGTGAGAAGCATGACTATGATGATACACACGCCTTTAAAAGTGAATCGGAATCCACTTGGGTGTGTTCCAGGGTCAAACAAATTGAAAGCTGGAAAGAAGTTGTGTTAGGTCCAGAGACTTCATTACCTCCAGGAAACTTCTATACCTCACAAATATTGTGGAAGAAAATAGAAGCCCTTCCTCCTGATAAAGTCATAAATTTGGCTTTAGAACCTTGTGGCCCTTCAGAAAACAAATTGAATTGTAGCATTATAAATAGTTCATATGGAATGACCAAGAGCCTAGATAATATTTACTCTGAACCTGAGGGGCAAGAATGTGGACCTTCTATAAACCCTTTGCCAAAGCCACGCAGGACATTCAGGTACTTGTCAGAGTCTGGTGTTAGGCCATATGAAGAAAGGGACTGTGACAGAAAACACTGTGAAAATAGGTCTTGTGCAGGATCTACTTTGGCCTCTTCTCACGAACCTGAACCAAAGAAATATGGTGGAAAAATCAGAGGGAGATCAAAAAGGTATGTTTTTATCTTATACAAAATGATTTGCAAATATTTTTTGTTTAGGATTAGTTCCTTTTCTTTTCAAATGAATTTTAATTTCCTAGCTTAGCTTACAGCCTTAATTTGAACATGTTGATGTTGACTAACATAGAAGGAACATAAAAAGAGTAATTAGTAGAAGTATAGGTGATTTCTAAAACAATTTTCTAGCATAGAATATCAGAAAACCTTCCAGTCTATATCTTTGGTTTGTTTATTTAGGTTTTGGTGTTTTGTTTTTGTAGACAGCATCTCTATGTATTTCAGGCTGGCCTTGAATTCACTGTGTAGAGGAGGCTGGCCTATAACTTGCTGTATTCTCCTGCCTCAGTCTCCTGTGTGGTGGGATTACAGGTGTGTGCCACTACACTGGCTTCTTATTTGTATCCTTAAGAATTCCCAGGGTCTAGTGTGTCTAAAGACTGCTACTAAAGATCTGAATTTAAAAAAAAAAAAAAAAAAAGAATTCCCAGGGCCGGGGAGATAGCTCAGTAGAATAAGCGCTTTCCTGGCAAGCTCAAGGGCCTGAGTTCAATACCCAGTTCTGAAAAAAAAAAAAAAGAAAAAGAAAAAGAAAAGAAAACAAACAAACAAAAAAAAGAATTCATAGGGTCAGATATGGTGGCACAGTGCCTGTACTCCCAGCACTCAGGATGCTAAGGTAGAAGGATTGCGAGTTTGAGGTACAAGAGCCTGTTTATCTAAAAGCAACAACAGAAACAAATCAGAAAGAGGAGAGCCAGGCAAGGTGGTACATGCCCAGTACTGTGAGCCCAATATTTAGGAGGATGAGGCAGGAGGGTCTCCACGAGTTTGAGGCTAGTGGGCTACACCCAAAAAAAGAGAGAGAGAGAGAGAGAGAGAGAGAGAGAGAGAGAGAGAGAGAGAGAGAAAGGAAAGGAAGCAAGCAAAACAACACAAAGGATTTGCCTACTTTTAATGAAGGAATAAATAAGCCTAGGGAAGAGCATGACTGAAAAAATAAACCAAAATACATCATCTATAGGTACAAATTTCCTATGATGACTATGATCATTGTGTATATCTAAAATATACTAATAAACTTAATTTTGAAAACATGAATATGGTTGCTTAAAATCCTTTAGTTTTGTGATGTGCATAGAGGGCACCAGTGTAGTTTATTTTTACATCTTTGATAAAAACACCTTTATGATTCCTCACTCAAATCCTTTACTTATCAGTTTCTATTTAAAGATTACAGTTTTGAAAGATATAACATTAAAATATATCTCCTTTCCTAAGGAAATCCTTTGAATTTGAGGATATTCAGCACTTTCGAAATCGGAATTCACAGAAGATTCATGAAGTGCTTGGGAGAAATTCTGGTTCAGCACTTTATTACACGCAGTCTGAGGATAATATCTATGAGGATATCATATGTAGGTGTACACAACTTTGCAATTAAATTTAATGAGTATGTATTTAATGATGCCTTTAATTATAGGATAGTATTGTCTTTTATAATCAAACACATCTTGGTCTACATTTTTCTTTGCATTATGGGTACCTTTTATGTGTAAATTTTTTCACTCTAATGAATTTTACAACCAGTGCAGTGTATTACTCATTTCAAAAGTGAATGCTTACAGTATAGTATTTTGAAAATGTTTTAGCTTGGTTTGACACCTGAATAATTTATAGACTTAAAATTCCATTGATCTGTTTTTTTTTTTTTAGTACAAAAGATTGAACTCAGGACCTTTCACTTTCCAAACAAGCACTTGTTCTACTAAGCTGTCTCCCTGGCCCCAAAGTTCCATTGATCTTAAGAACCATGTTCCTAGTGGCCAGATAGCACAGTGGGGCACCCTGAGATGGCCATGGAGAGTGGACATAGTGGTACACATCTGTAATCCCAGCACTTGGGAGGCTGAAAACAGGAGGATCACTACGAGTCCGATCAGTGTAATTAGACCCTGTACTAAATACATTTTTTAAAAAAAGAACCATATTCCTACAGCAGAGAAGAAGAAGAAAACAATATAGTCAGTTTTTAAAATTTCTTTTGCTATGTTCAGTCTCTTTATTTCCATTTAATTATGTTCCTCTGAGCAATTATTGTTGTTTTTCAAGATCCCACCAAAGAAAATCCATATGAAGATATTCCAGTGCAGCCTTTGCCCCTGTGGAGATCCCCTTCAGCATGGAAGCTACCACCCACTAAAAGTACTTTCAAGACACCCAAGGTACAGTTAGAGGATTAAATGAGAAACATGAGTCTTGTTTATGTGGTATACAGAAAAGTTAAGATGTTTTAACTGGGGCCAAAACTAAGAGGCACTATTATGTAAGTTTTATTGTTGGTGGTTTTGGAGGAAATAAATGTTTTTTTTTTCTTTGCTTTGTTGTTTTGTTATCATTTGAACACCTCAAAAAATTTGAATGTAAAATAAATAAATAAAAAAAAATTTTGAATGTAAGTGCCTTTAGATGGGCAGTTTTCAGTTTACCATGGTTCCTACTGCTCCTTCTTAGTCTCCCATGAGCCTGTGACCTAAACTACCCATCTGGTCTCTGAGACTTCTGAACCCTATGACTTGAGTTATGAGATTATTTTTTTAAACAATATTTATTTATTTATTTATTTATTTATTTTGTGGTCTGCTCAGCCCACCCTGGGGGAAGGGCCAGCACAGCATGTGGTGCCGGAGATTCCTGCACACTTGCCCAAGCTTGCCTGAGCAGGCACTTTAGACCACTTTGAGACTATGCTGAATTGTTCTCTAGGAATTTGATTACATTGTAGAACACTGAATTCTAAAGCTGAGAAGCTTCTTTATCAGTGCTAAGAAAGAGTATGGTGACATGCCAGTTCCTGCTATGATGTCTCTCGGGTAGGTGAATGTTCAAGAAGAAGGGGGTGGTGAATGAAAGCAAGAGACAGGAAAAGGAATATTGTGGGACTGTCCTGCTTCAAGGTTGTATAGGGTGAGATTTTTGGGCTTATGTGCAAACATGAGAAGTATAGAATTCTTTATCCTATTTTTAAAATATCTAATTTTTAAATGCTTTTTTATCATATTATGTAGGGACTTAAAGTTCAACATATCAATACTTGATGAAAAATACCTGTTCCTTATTATGCCTAAGATGTTTGAAATGCAGTGAGATAGTGAGGTTAAGCTTGATAGCCTAAATCGTTTGATAATAACAATAAGCTTGTCTTCTGGATGGTTAACAACCTAAGTTTGCAGACCAAAATTAGAGAAAAAGGAGGGCTACAAGGAAAGCCAACATTTTGGCCCTAGCCTTCTAAGGTCAATTAAGACTCAGGACATATGAGAACTTGTACTGTAACATCATGTACCTCGGTAGTGTCCCAAATTTTCTGATCAAGAAGATTATGGGGCCAAAGAGGAAAGTGATCGATGACGTAGAGTGTGCCTAAGGAGAGTCACATGGGGAGAAGACACTCTCTCAGGCTTTCACAGAGAGCACATTGGCCAAGCAATGGCTGTGACTCATCCACATGGCTGCACTGACAAAGGTTCTACAATCTGAGGTACAGGATCTCAGGATAAATCCTGAGGGGATTTCACTGACCTTCTCAGACCCAAAGCTATAACTCTTGTTGCATAGGTCCTGCTTTACCTTGGTCTTAACCATTCAGTAGAAAAGTATGAAGACGAAATATAGGAAATAAAGCCATGCTGTTATGTTGAGCTGTGGGGGACTCAGGTCAATAATTTCTGACATTGCCAGTTAAACAGAAGACCCAATGCTATTGTGGGCTACTGGACTCTTTTAGAATATTTTGCTGAGTTTACACACCTATAATATTCAATAACGGAACTTAGAAAAAATGGGGTATACTGATGAATGCCCATTTTGTATCTGTGTATTCAAAGTGGTTGGGATAGATATATAGTTGCATTCTCTTAATGAATAGAATGATTTTTTCTAATGGTGTTTGTAAGTAGGATCACAAGTCTGCATCTTGTACAGCAATTAACCACTAAGAAGAATGTATGCAGTGTATTATTTGTTGAAACTGTACTTTCGATTTGATTTGAAACTGTCTCATTGCTATCTGTTTATCAATAAAACTTTGAAAAAAAAAAAAGAAAGAGTATGGTATCCTCATTTGAGATTATTTTAAAGGAAAAATAAACATTTTCCTGGGATAGCTTTGGCTTTGCATGAAGACGCGGGTGTTAACCAGATGAACTTACCAGTGTGTCTTCTCCTATGCCAGCTTCCTCCCAAACCACAGTTCCTTCACCGAAAGACTGTGGAACTGAAGAACTCCCAAGCTTTTGTACGATCCAAGTTTACGAAGGATGCCACTTTGCCTGTCACTTTAACCGAGTGGAAACTTTTCAGAGCTGGAGACGTTGCGAACCGAAAAAGGAGAAATCTTCCAAGGGTGAGGAGTTCAGTATTGCCATTCTTCTTTTCTTATTTCAATATTTCTGCAAATGAGAATAAACAAACATTAAACTGAAATGAATAATAGGTTTTTAACTGACCTATCGGAATGGAAAGATATGGAAAGCAGCCTTAAGTTTTAAACTTTTGGTTATGCAAGAAAAACTGCACGAATGGCTTTTGCCATGGTTTCTTTATTAATTTGGAAAATTGATATCATATGGAGGGCTTCACTTCCATTACGTTAGCTGTCTGTTTTAACGAAGTAACAGATACTCGTTAAAGGGGCATTCTGTCAAGCTAGTTTTGGTATTGTTCCCACTCATCCATCAAAGTGGCTTCAGTTTTTTGTTTGAATTTACAGATTTTCAGTAGTGACAAGGTAAATACAGTATATACAGAATATTGGGGGCAAAATTTTCATTCAGAGGAGAAAAAAAGAGAAGTTGAACTGTTACTTGGAACTAAAACTTACCAGCAGTGATACCAAATAACTTCTTTCTCAAGGGAAAAAGGCAGTTAAGGCTGTGTATGATGCCAACTCCGACAACTGCAACCCAGAAAAAAAATTGAGATTCTATGTAGACAGATATATTGTCTTTTAGGAAAGACTCCTAAGAAATTATGTGTAAATATTGCTCTTTAATTCAGAGTGTTTTCAAGATTAACAAAATACTATGCAGATAATATATAGCCAAAAGAAGTCAAATTATTTAGATATCTTTCTTACTCTCATTTGAATTAGTTATGTGTATTCATTTAGCACACAATTTTTATGCCTGATTTTAACATGAAACTAAAGTCACAGCTTTTTCTTGGCTTAGTTTCCACTTTTTGGTTCCCTGGGAAATACTCTGCTCCGCAGTTCATTTCTTTCTGTTTCCTGCCCTCCCTTTTTAAAACTCACAGGTTTGAAAAACTGCCAGCCATCCAGCAGTAGCATTCTCCTGGGGTAGATCACGCTCACACAACAAAGCAGCTTCCCACGTGGTCCGGAAATAGCAGATCATGTGTTCTTTAGGGGAAGAATACTAATACCTAAGGGACTGCATTAAGGTTCTTTTTTTTTTGGCAGCACCGGGGCTTGAACTCAAGACCTTGTGCTTGCCAGGCAAGTGCTTATTCTACTGAGCTATCTCCCTAGCCTGCATTAAGATTCTTAAAATATTAGGATGGCATTAGTACATTTACTCCTTTGCGTTGTAGGGTTAAATGAGGCCCAAGGAGATTTTCCAGTGTTTTAAATTTCATTTGTTAGTATTTTATGTACTGCGAATCTCAAGGGCTCAAAATTTAACCTCTTAGGCAGAGTGCAGCGGCCAGGGTTCAATTTCCAGCCTGCTCTGCTGGCTCCATCCCCAGGGCATGCTGAGGCTGTGATTGAGACGGGCGTGGTGGCGCACGCCTGTAATCCTAGCACGTGGGAGGCTGAAAACAGGAAGATCACTGTGAGTCCAATCTATGTAGTGAGATCCTGTAGACCTTGTACTAAATATATTTTTTAAAAAAAATTTAACCTCTTTCTGATGATAGGTAGTATGCTCCAGTTCTTCCTGTTTTAGAACTTTCCAAAAGGTTTTTTTTTTTTTTGAGAAACAGAATGAAAGAAAACGGTGATGAATATTGATTGTTGGCTAGGGACAGGTGATTAGTATTTCTACGTTTGACCCTTCTCAGATTGTCCTTTCATGATGTCACATATGCAGTCTGGCTTTGAAGTATTTTCAAGAAAATATTCTGTAGGAAAAACAGTTTTTATTTGTATTCCCTCTGATGAGAAGCAAAGAAAAATGAAATTATTTTCATCGCTCTGATAAAAGTAAAGAAAATTGTTTTCACAGTTTGAAAATCACTGATCTAATCCATATGCCTCCTTCCTACCCTTTCTTTTTCTACTTTGAAGGCCTATGTGGGATTGTTTGCTACAGCCTAAGCCCTGCTTTTTTTTTATATTGTTGTGTCAAGTGCATGCAGTTGTATGATTTCTGTCATTTCTTAGAGGATTGTACTGTGTTTCCTGCAACTAACAGGTGAAGATAGGCTCCTCTTCCAACCTCATAATAATCAGGATTTAAATTTATCACTTTACCTTCTATTTGAGAACAGTAGTTTCCTTTCCTTGTAGTATTTAAATATACTTTTGAATATTCTTTTCAATGTACATTAATAAATTATGCTATTTTTGTGTTTGCTGTAGTGGTGCATGCAGGTAATCACAGCAGTAGGGATTGGGAGTTTGGGGCCAGCCTGGGGTACACAGTGAGTTCAGAACCAGCCTAAACTGTATAGAAAGAGCCTATCTCAGAAAAGAAAAGGAGGGAGAAGGAGGAGAAAAGAAAGGGGAAGAGGAAGAAGAGAAGAGAAGAGAAGAAGAAATCATTGATAACTTTTCACCCAAATTCAGCTATAAAAAAGTAAAAGAATAAACTCATCCAGAAATGTAGACATAATCTACATCTTAAATGCATGTTTCTGATGTTTTTCTCTTGCACTGGACTGATTTACAGCCTGTTGATTGCCAAGACTGCTAGAGAGGATGGGGGGAAAAAAAAGACTGCTGGAGAAACAAGGATGAAAGCGAAACTATTTTCCTCAAGCAAGTTTGTTGATTGTCATCTAATATAATGATCCTTACAGTTGTAATTCTAGGCATTGTGCTCACTTAAGATTAACATAAAAAGTATGGAATCTTAAGGTAAAAGCACTCATGGAAAAACCATTTTATTCATTCATTCATTCATTCATTCATTTAATTTTTGCAGTAGTAGGAATTGAACTCAGGACCTTGTGCTTGCCAGGCAAACACGTATTCCACTGAGCTATCTCCCCGGCTCCTCTACTATAATTCTTTGTTACATAAAGAATGTGTGTCTTTATTTCTTATCATTCCATGTCACAACATGCAGGCAAGGTGGCTACTGCACTCTCTAAAACGACCAAGCCATTATTAAATGCAAGTTTTTGCTTGCCCAGAATACTTTGTGTCTCTAGCTGTTTCTGTCTCTTTTTCAGACACATGCATAGCTTTCTTCACAGTCAAGGAAGAATTGACTAGTGCTTATTAGGGAGAAGCAGATATATATATATATATATAAAATTGAAAAATAAATGGTGTTAGATTGACATGGTAGTATATGCCTGTAATTCCAGGACTGTGCGAGGGTGAGGCAGAAGAATCACAAATTTGAGCCCAGACTGGCCAACCTAGTAACTTAGCAAGATCTCGTCTTAAATAAAAATTGGCTGAGACCGTAGCTCAGTACAGACCCTGGGTTCAATCTCCAGTACTGCCCTCGCAAAAAATTAATTAATTTAAAAATGAGTGGAAAAGGGATAGAAAAGCAATTTTGTACTTGAGCATATTTGATAATCTCCTATTTTTATGAAATATTTCTAAAACAAATTGTAATGTTTATACTCTCAGTAGTAAATTACATTGTTTGACCAAAACTTCACTTCGGGAGGCTGAGGTAGGATGATCACATGTTTGCAACCAGGCTGGGTAACATAGCAATTTAATGTGACCCTGTCTCAAAATAAAAAGTAAGAGCTGGGCCTGGAGGCACACACCTGTAATTCGCACACTGGGAAGGCTGAAGCAAGAGGATTGCTGAGTTTAAGGCTAGCCTGGGCTATATAGTGAGTTCAAGATCAGCCTAAACAGCCTGAATTACATGAGACCCTGTCTCAGATAGCTAACTAGCTAACTAGATACATACACACATATATACATACATACATAGGCAGGCTGAAGCGTTGAGGGTGTAACTTAGTGCAAGGCTCTGGCTTCTATCCCCAGTACTGCAAAAACACCAACAACAACTTCCCAAGTGTGATTATATTCTTGCTAGAAGAATTCCTAGAAGAAATAACTGAGCTTCATGCTTTCTTCCAAGCGAATGAATGTTTCTCTTTCTATTCTGGGCAAGCAAAAACTTGCATTTAATAATGGCTTGGTCGTTTTAGAGAGTGCAGTAGCCACCTTGCCTGCATGTTGTGACATGGAATGATAAGAAATCTCCCAGAGGGCTGGGGAGTAGAATATATGTGTACCTGGCAAGCATAGTGTCCTGAGTTCAATCCCCAGTACCGCAAAAAGAAAGAAAGAAATCTCCCAGAGGGGCTTGCTGGATTCATCTGGAAAGAAGTCACCTTACTCATCTTATATGGAAGTGATATTTTGTTCGTATAGGATCTTGCTATATAGTTTAGGCTGGCCTTGAACTGGACTCAATATTTGAAAAATATGTCATCTAAATATCACTTAAAATGAAAATTGAAAGAATATTTTATTTATAAAATACATCTCTAAGTTAGAATCACCAATTAAATCATCAAGCTACAGACCTTATGTTGGTTTTAACTTGTATTTTCCTGGTCTTCTCTCAGCTTGTATTGAAAATAGATGATATATTTCAATCCAAGAGAGGAAAGAAGAAGGTAAAGTTGTACCCTTACACTGGAAAGGAAGTACTTCCTTCAAAAGGTAAGAATTATAATTGTTTCAGGGACCGGGGAGATGGCTCAGTGGAATAAGCCCTTCCCTGGCAAGCTCAAGGGCCTGAGTTCCATCCCCGGTTCTGCCAAAAAAAAAAAAAAATTATAATTGTTCCAGATACTTTTGATATCAACCTTTGAGGAGAGAATCACTATAAAACTTAATGTCTATAAAGTGAGTTATTTTTAATTTACTTTCTTGACTGTACAACTTTAGTATAAACTTCTTTAGAGCAAGGGGTCATTTTTCCAATTCTTTTTATTTAATTCTGTCCCAAGTAGTAGTAAGTATTAGGTGAGTAAATAAATGAAAAAAAAAATCACTAAAAAACCATTGACTCTAATTTTCATAGGCAGTTTGAATCTTTGTTTTGTAGTCCTACTTTGATTTATAATCATTCGCCAATATAGACTCTTTTAGTAAAGAAATGAAAATAGTAGGTATACATAGATGAGAAGTGTGTAGCACTCAGCTTGCAGTCATAAGCTTGTAAGTCGTAAGTTCTGTATTGTAAATGGTTAGAAAAAACTTATCCTGCCAAGCATAGTGTCCATGCCTGTAATTCCAGTACTTTAGGATGCTGAGGCAGTGGGAATCACAGAAAGTTCAAGGCCAATCTCGGCAATTTAGGGACCTAGTGAGACCTGTTTCAAAATAGGAAATTAAAAAAAGGGCTGAGGAGATGCAGCTCATTGTAGAGGTCCTGAGTTCATTTCTCAGTGTCCCCAAAATCCTATTTCCTTAATTAGGAAACTTTTAGTATTTAAAAAAAAGAAAAAAGAAACTTTCAGTATTTATAATGAGTTATTAGATTTTCATAAAAGCTATGATGGTTTGGGGTGTAGGTTGGTGGTAAAGCACTTGCCTAAGATCAAGAGGCCCTAGATTTCACCCCCAGCACTGTAAAAACAGAACAAAAACAGGTGATGTGAGTCTAAACTTTTTCACAAAAAATATATAGATTATAGAAATTTTTATTTATAAGGTTAGCTAAGTGAGAATCAGCAGCCAAGTCATATTAGAGGAGAGTGCTTCCTACTTTTGCAGTGTTCTAAATAAAGACAATTAAATTTCCCCTAAAAATCTGTTCTATGTTATAACGACTTCCTATCTGAAAATACAATCCTGTGTTTCTGCTTAGACTCTGTTCCTGCTCTGTGATGACTGTGTTCAATCACAGAACCACAGACAACAACAAAATCAACTTGTCACTATTTTTAATGTGAGCTTTCAGATTTTTCAGAGCACTTTTAAAAATACGCTTCCTTCTTCTCCTGTGGGGAAGAAACGTCTAGTTGTGCTGTCTCCTGTCTATCCAAGGAGTTAGGCACCAGTGAAGATTCACAGGAGAAGCTGAGTCCCCGGAGGAAGCATACCTTCCTCAAGGGTCATGGCTGCACCAAGTCTGGTCATTTCCTGTCACCAACAATGACACTCAGTTTTTCTTTTTTTTT